CCACTAAAATATGTCACCTGACTCTCACTTTATGTTTGCTATTTTAGTGGCAGTAACACATGATAAACACATAGAAATTTTATGTTAATTCTTTGAAAATCACCAATTCAATATTATATGAGAAATTCTATTCCTTCCATTATATTCCCATAACCAATCATGCCAGAAAATACCATTAACGTACTTCAACTAATAAAAATACATTTTTCCCACAAGTCATGGAATTTTGGTGATCTTTAATTCTATCTCTGCACAAGATTAATAGTTTCAGACTAAACATTCTTTATTACTTTTAAAATCAGCCCTCACATATTAAGCCTTGCACTCCCTCCATAGTTACAAGTTACTTCGTTACTTCTGAACAGCTCTCTAGTTCCACTGTGTATACCCTGAGATTTCCTACTTGCAGTAATTCAAGCATAATATAGGCTAGTTTTCTTCCTGATTTATGTTTAAAAAAAAAAAAAAGACTTTCAAATATAATCCTTGATGATACGCAACATTTTGAGATTTTTTTTTTGGCTGCACAGCACCCTGGACTAATGCCTTCAAGAAACAATATAGAGACTCTAAACTTCTCTGAATAAAATTAAACAGTCCAATCTGCAAAGGAATACTTTTACTGATTTAAACCCAACTGTAATATGCTTTAGAATACTTCTTTAAAAATAAACACAAGACTTAGAATTAAGAAAAAAAAAATATCAGATCAGTCTAAGGCTTTGGAGATCCCTAAATCCTAAGAGTTTAAAATTTGCAGATGAGAAAAATGAGGCTTAAATGACTTGCCAAAGGGCCAGGTAGCTCTTGGTAATTCACACTACCTGCAAATCAAAAAAGTGATACAAACAACTAATTTAAAAAAAAAACCCAATAGATAAATTTAAAAAAAAAGTGATACAGATCTCCTATCTATAAAGCCAGGCATTATAGATAGATATGGATATGGATCCAGAATGTACAATTTCAAATCCCGATTTTTGCCTTTCTATGTTACCTTCTAGCAAGTTACTTAATAGATTTGTGTCTGTTTCCTGATCTTCATGGTGATAGAGAGTATGTAAACAATCCTTACAGGACTAGTACATTTAAGTGCCCCATGTTAGGTATTACTATTATTTTCCTTAGGGACTTTTCTTACTAAAATGTTGGGAACCATGATTACATATATATCTTGGTTGACAATGGTTTCAATTAATCTAAATCAATGAGACACTTTTGTGCTGAAACAGACACACTGAGGAATAGCAGATAAAATTCCTTTACTACTAAATACCCTCTTGCTTTTCCCACAAAGAAAGCTCTTTTCCTTTAGGGAGATAGGTTAGCATACAGATTAGCATTTTCAAACAAATCTCAATTTACCAAATTAGGAGTACTGGCTCTGGATCCATAATGTACAATTTCAAATCCTGACTTTTGCCTTTCTTTGTTACCTTCTATCAAGTTACTTAACGGATTTGTGTCTGTTTCCTGATCTTCATGGTGATAGAGTATGTAAACAATCCTTATATGACTAGTACATTTAAGTGTTCCATGTTAGGTATACTGCTATTTTCCTCTGGGAGTTTTCTTACTAAAACATGGGAAAGTAATCAAGATATAGAGAAAATGCCCTTAAAGGTAGCTAGAAAAATATAATTAATTATAGTAAAATTGATTAAATGTAAAACAAAGAGGAAAAATAGTTCTTAAATGGCAATTTATAATAAGTTAAATCTATTTAAAACACATGCACAAGAAGTCCTACCTTTAATATTGAAACACACTTTAGGGGCTGGGGATGTAGCTCAGTGGTAGATCACTTGCCTACATTCAACAGGCCCTGGGTTCAATCCCCAGCACTGCAAAAAAATAAAATAATAATAAAAAAAAAATAAGCCAGGCCTGGTGGTACATGCCTGTAAAGTTACTAGGGAGACTGAGGCAGGAGGATACCACATTCCAGGCCAGCCTGAGCAATTTAGCGAGACCCTGTCTCAAAATGGCTGCTGGGGATATAGCTCAGTAGTGAAACACCCCTGGATTCAATATCCAGTATGAAAGAAAAGAGATTAAACATAAATGTTAGTCTTCCTGGATTTTGGCAGGAATCAGGCCTAGGTAGATTGAATGACACTTTAAACACAAGAGTCATGGCCATAGTTATTTTCTTCAGTAAGTTACATAAATATTTGGTCCAGCAGCTGGGGTTGTAAATAAATTTTAAAAAAGGTATCGTGTTCATCTACAACTAAAAAAAAAAAAAAAAAAAAAGATCTAATAAATATTTGGCTTTTCCATGACAATAATTACCAGCACTTTTGGTCGAGGATAGCAATACAGTAAGAAGAGTTTTGTACCTGGCACTCTCCCTGCAGACTTCTATCAAGCTGGAAAGTCATACTAGAGTCACAAAACACATGAATTTTACAGCAGTATGACCTTGGAGAACCCTCTTACAAGGTATTAATTTATTATCTCATCTATAAACTGGTGATTACATTCACCTCCCAGATTGGGGAGGGGTAAGAGGGTAAATAGAGATTCGTATGAAAATGTTTTCAGAATAGCTAACGTACATACACATATTCCTAGTCTTGACTCCATTCTCCCCTTGGGAAGGGAGGTCATTTAGCAATCTAAGATAACTGCAACTTCTATGTGTGTGTGTATGTGTCTGTGTGCAAGGGGTGTTACATAGGCCTATATCATCTTTCCTACACTGGGCTACTTCTGGAAATGTAAAGTCTTATTATGGTCTCAGGTTGGATTTTTTATATATGGGACTCCAGAGTATGATCATTCGTGAAAGACATATTAGGTCCAAGCATCTCCTTAACACCCTCAAACTCATTACAAAGAAAAACCTCAATCTCTACTTGCATATTTCTTTTCTCTATTACAACACCCTGAACACTGCCATAAAGAGATTGTAAAATTTCTCTAAGAAATCTTGAGAGGTACTCTAGAAAACTAATGCTATTTGTGTAAACAGTTACTAGTGTCTTTCAAAGCTAAAAGGACTTTATGAAAATCCCAATGGTACTAGAAGAAAAATATTAAATTTCCAGCTCATATAACTTGATACCAGATGGGGCTTTCTGAACTATTCAGTTCATAAAAAGGAAATTGAATCTGTTCTAAGTATGGAGGAGTGGAGGAGTCTAGGACCTTTAAGTACACTAGGTCTTATGTATTGATTCAGTGTCAAAAGGGTCTTAGGGGAAGAAAGAAAAAAGAATAAAACCTCAGTGCAAATTAAGGGCACCAAGAAAACTGCTACTTTTGTTTCACCAAAAATAGAACCATCCCAGCCACCCTGTAATATCTAACATACAAGAATAACTAGAGGGAATTTATAAAATGAAAACAAAATTCTGGAATCTTATCTTTACAATAGCAGTATTTGAAAAGAAGTCTTATTTAACCTAAAGCAATTAAAATAAATTTCAATGAGGTCATCTGGTCTAAAATCTTTTAGTAATTAGTAATTTGTTTAAATTAGTAAACTTAAAATATTTTCTCATTTTTTAAACTTTTGATCCTATCTCTGCCCTGTCAGTATCACTTCATGTAGGCACCAATTAAGTTTTTGAAGAGTTCAAACAAATGTTTTCTAATTCAGTTAAAATAAGTCCATTACATATGGGGTAAAAATGGGAGTTCATAACCCACTTGAATCAAAGTGTGAAATATGATATATCAAGAACTATGTAATGTTTTGAACAACCAACAATAAAAAAATTAAAAAAAAATAAGTCCATTACATTGGCATTGTGCTATCTTCACTTTACAAACATTATCTCATTTAATCCTCCCCACAATCCCAGGAGACAGACATTATTATTTCTACAACATCCATTTTAAAGATGAATAAACTGAGGTTTATAGACAAGCAACCTGCTTAAAATCAAAGGACTTGTATATAATAAGGCCTTTATTCAATCCATGCCAATGTAACCTATGTGCTTTCAATCACATTAAAAACACAGGTAAAAAGATAATTTTTCAACTTGTATGTATTCTACATTGTGGTATTCATGAAAAATAAATCGTTCTTTTCCTATCTAACAATTCATTAAACTGTGGACCCTGTCAAATAGCATTTCTTTGTTTCCTTTCCTGTTTTTAGATTTACATGACAAAAAGTATTGAAACACCAATACCAAAGTTTTAAAATTTAACCATCATCTTATAAACCAAACTTCAATATCTTTTATTTTTAAAATATAGAAGAAATCTCTCCTGTAAAGGATGCAGGAGCTGAACCTGCAAAAATGTGAAACTGAGAATGGTTCTCCCTCAGTCCTCTACCTCCACCCCCATTCAGTAAGGATGAAAATACGTAACTTCAGAGAGCCAACGAGATACAGAACAATCAAGAAAATTGAGACATTAGGTCATTTCTCCTTAGTATATCCGTTTAGCGGAAGGGAATGAACTGGAAAGGTGTTCTACTGCCCTTCGCTTATTTCAGCATTATTAAGTGACGGTTAAAAAAGCAACTGCAACACAAGCACACTGTACCCGAGAACGCTGAATCAAATAAGATCATTTATCACGACTACCAGTCTTAGTTCTAGCTTCTCTGTCAATTATACAAAGAATCACCTATTAAATATTAATGGCATGTCATTTGCACTGGAGCTCTCACGGACAGCTTCCTGTTACTTATTTTTGTTAAGAAAGAAAAACTGTCTCTGTATACTAGGTAAACCCCAGGCCACTAGAATCCCTCAGATGGGCGATCCATTCTCTTCCTCCCCGGGGAGGCTGACAGGGCCACCCTCACATCCCAGGGAGGAGGAGGGAGGGACTTGAGGGAGGGCGGGTCCCCGCGGGTCCTGGGCTGAGGACCGGGTTCCCCTACTTCCCAGCCGTCAGCGACAGGTCGGGAGGCGGGGCGCGGTCGATCTGAGCTGTCCTCACAAAGACAGTGAGCCAGTGGGTCCGCGCACCGGGACCCTGGCCGGGACGGGGTGGACCCTGAGGGGTGCGACGAGACAGGGGACACTTACCTAGCAGCAGCACGTTCTTCCCAGTCGGGAGCTTGGAGCGCGAGCGGGTGGAGACCTCGCTGAGGATGCAGGACCTAACGGGAAGCAAGGCGCAGGCTGAGGCCAGGGACGAGGGGCCGGAGCCGCACCACGGGAGGGACGGCCGGGCCTCGGCGCGCCCGGGCGCGCTCATCCGAGAGCTCAGTGGCTGGGCCCGGCGCCGAGCTCCGGCGGGCACGGGACCCCAAGGCGTCCTCCAGGCCGGGAAAGCCAGCGGGGACCCAGGGAGGGGTGGGATCGTTACCAAAGATTCTGCCCGTCCTCGTCGTCGCCGGCTGCAGCGCCGCCGTTGCCCGACGCGAGCTCGTTGGCCAAGGGGCCGCCGGTATAAGCCGAGGCTAATCCGGGTGGAGAGGAACCGAACGAGCCGACTCGCCCCACGGTCGCCATTTTGGTCGGGAACCACACCACTCCCGGTCAGGCTGAATGAGCGGGGCGGCAGCGGCGGGAACCCGGATATGGGATGTTCAGCTCACGGGAGCGGGGCGGGGCCTGCGGGGGCGGGGCTCGGGCCGGGCAGCGACTGACCTAGAGTTAGGATGGACTGCGCGTGCGCCGCGGGCTGGCGGTTACCAAGGGGCTGCGCGTGCGTGTTGGGCCGGACCGGTATCCGCCGTAGTCTGTATTCCGCTGATTTCACAGTGCAGAAGCGCATCCCGCGCCGAAAAGTGGGTTGGGTGTGTCAAATGAGCGGCGCTCCTTTCCACCCTTCAGTCGGGTCCATAAATCTCGCAACCGGCGCGGAATTCCACCAAAGTCATTAAGAGCCCATCGTTCATTCAGGCTCAGCCCCAGTTCCCAGCCTATACCTGTGCCAAGATAGAAATGGGCCGCCCTGCTGTTGCTGCAGCCGGGATTTGGAGTATTCCTGGGATCCTGAGTTTCTTCCCTCTCAAGTAGCGAGGAGTTCCTCAAACCAGACCCACATCAGGAGCAGATTCTCCCAGCCTCCAAGCCCCTGAGTGATAGAAAACTGTTTTGGAAAGGTCCTGATGTTTTGCGAGATTGTCCGCGTGAGATTGGAAAAGCTCCATTATATGAGTCATCTATCCAGTCACCACACGTTTATCCCACACTTAATGCAGTAGGCACAGAATAACTAAAGCAGCCCCCAAATAACTCCCTTTCTGTTAGAACTTTTACCGATTAAGTGTATTGGAATGTCTGTGCCCCACTTCCAAAAGAGATAATGGTTTTAAAGCTCTTGAAAGAGCAGTTGCTTAAAATAACCTGGCCTTTGTACACTTTCCATACCATTTCATATTTGAAGATGCTAACAACTTCACTTGCTAACGTATGACCTGAACAAAGCTGTTATGCAAGTGAGAAAATTCACAGCTAAAGACGGTATTTGCTATGTGTTAACATTGCAATTAGAAGTCTGGAAGGCTTTGGAAACTGGCTAGTCAAAGTTCAGGTCTAGTTCCACCAGTTTATTGGCTGTGTAACTTTAGACAACTCACTTAGCCTCTCTGAGTCTGTTTCTTTTATCTGTAAAAAGGTGTTAAAAAGGACCTAGAGTTATTATGAAGATTAAATGGGATGATTCATGTAAAATGGCTTAGAACAGTGACTAGAATAAATTTTACGTGCAGAATGCATGTTAATTATTGTTAATGACTAGTTTTTCCTTTATTTTTCAAACCATTACTATCTGGCCAACCCCTGGAATTGATGTACCTACTGAACTGCAGCTAAAATTCCTTATTTTGTTATGATTTGGGAAAGCACCAGAACACAATGCCACACTTCCTATAGTAGCAAGCTGGATAGTGACTCCCAGCTGAAATTGAGTCTTTAGGTTACTGTTGTTTTTTTAATATATATAGATTTTTTTGATATTTATTTTTTAGTTTTAGGTGTACACAATATCTTTATTTTATGTGGAGCTGAGGATCGAACCCAGTGCCTCATGCATGCTAGGCAAGCACTGTACCACTGAGCCACATCCCCAGCCCTATTTTATACTTTATTTAGAGACAGGGTCTCAGTGAGTTGCTTAGTGCCTTACTGTTGCTGAGGTTGGCTTGAACTCATGACCCTCCTGCCTCAACCTCCTGAGCCACAGGAATTACAAGCGTGTTCCACCAAGCTGGTCTCCCCCTCAATTTTGTTTATGAATGCCTACTGTATGCCAGGCATTCAAGGTGTTTATGATTTGCCATCCTCATACTTTGAAATGGATAGAAAAATTAGGTAATGAATTTACCAGGTCACACAAATCAAAGGTTAATTGGTTATTTGAGATTTTGAATTTCTACCTTTCCACTCTGTCAAGTGACCATAGTCAAATCATGTTAAAATAAATATCCTGACAACTCTAGATGCTGTTATGAAAAATACCTTCCATGAAAATCTCTACATTACAAACATAGGAAATTTACATATTATAAGAAAGTCTGTAAAAGGGAAGATTCAGCACTCCCTTGAAATTTTTGTTGCATAAATGCTCTGTATAATTAAGCTACTTTTGGGGGGGCCAGAGTAACTGGGGATTGGACCCACGGGCACTTAACTACTGAGTTACATCCTCAGCCATTTTTTTTTTAATTTTTTAATTTGACACAGGGTCTCACTAAGTTGTTTGGGGCCTCACTAATTTGCTGAGGCTGGCTTTGAACTTGTGATCCTCCTGCCTCTGCCTCCTGAGCTGCTGGGATTATAAGTGTGTGCCACCACGCCCGGCAAGCTCTTCTTATGCTATAATTATTTTTTTTCTTACATCTAAAATTAACAACCATTTTGGTTTTCTTTTACTTTGATTTTTATACCCTTAACTCTAATTTAGTGTCAAATTCTTGTCCAAGTTGTACAAAATCCTTATTGGGTTTTCTAACAATTTCATCTTCTTGGGGCTACCTTTAAGAGCTTTCTGGCCTGCCCTAATATGAATTGGTTGTTCTGTATGCCAAGCTGTCATCCTATGGTCTCCTTTCACCATTGCTCTAGGTTTTACCTTTGCCTCAATCCCATGTCTTCTTTCTTAATTCCTTATTTCAGGAGAGAACTAAATTTTACACTTTGAATGCCAGTGTAAATTTTTGGAGATGTGTTAGTAAAGGGATAGAGCACTGATCTCTCTTTTGCTACCCCTGGTCTTCTGCCAGTTTCTCCCACTTTGACAAAATCCAATCAGAAGACAGAGGACAAGAGAATCCAAGTAAGGTAATTCACACAGGTATGAATACCTTCCAGAGCACAAAGTGGGATAGAGAAGAATCTGGAGGGGCAAATGATATCCAGCACATTTTGTACATTTGAAAATGCACTTATGGGCTGCAGTTACAGCTCAGTGGTAGAGCGCTTGCCTTGCATGCGTGAGGCCCTGGGTTCAATCCTCAGCACCACATAAAAATAAAGATATTTAAAAAAAAAAAGAAAATTTACTCTATCTTCACTAAATGTAGATTTTTAGGTTGCAAATGATCATCCCTTAGGTTTTTAAAGGCCTTGATTCCTTGTCTGTTGGATTGTAATGCTGCCATGGAGAAATTCAAAGCCATTTGATTCCTAATATTTTCTTTTGTATGCTTTTTCTTTTTTTTTTCCCCCTTCCTCAGAAGACTTTACAACTTCTACAGATTCCCACTAGTGTATCTACTTGGTCTCTAGTTTCTGCACTTTTTTACTCTTCAGAAAGATAATCCATACTTTTGTACTAAAGCAATCTATGCAGTAGATCCCATCTCCTGTCCACAGCTCAAGGACGTTGTTCTGATAATGCTCTCCGCTTTCTCTATATAATCATTTTCTGATAATTGGATCATCCATGTTAGCATATACACATACTATTAAATCTATCTTAAAAAGAAATTTCTCTGAACCCCATTCCTTTACCAACTGTTGCTACATTTCTCTTTTCTCCTTAACAGCAAAACTCTTAAAAGATTTTTGTATTTCCTGTTTTAAAAAGCCTCTTTCCTCTTACTCTTTTGATCTACTTTGATCAGATTTTAACCCCCGTGACTCCACAGAAACTGTTCTTCCCTTGTCAGTGACCTCCTTGTTGCTCAGTGCAGTGGTGGATTCTGCACCCTTGCCTCTCTGGACCCAGCAATAGCACGTGACACAACTGAGCATTCCTTCTAGATAGCCTTCGTAGTGTGGGTTCCAGGTCACCACATTCTCTTGCGTGGTATCCCCCTCACTAGTAGTTTCTTCTTGGTCTCCACTGTTACTTCCTCATTTTCCTGACTGCTAATGTTGGAGGACCCCACAGCTCAGTCTTTGTTCCTCTTCTCTATTTACACTCACTCCATTGGTGATACCATCCAGTCCCATTACTTTAAATCCATCCCCAGTCACCCTTCATAGTTTCAGGGTCTGCTTCTGCAAATTTTTCTTCCCAAAATTCAACCAACCACAGGTCAAAAATATTTTTTGATTGTATCTGTACTAAACATACACAGATTTGTGTGTGTGTGTGTGTGTGTGTGTGTGATTATTCCCTAAACAATACAGTTGCCAACTTTATATATGGCATTTACTGGACCTTAGAAGCATACCTAGAGATGATTTAAAGTATATGGGAGGATGTGCATAGGTTTTATGCAAATACAGCACCATTTTATATAAGGGACTTGAGCATCCTCCAAAATTGGATTCCAAAAGGGGTCCTAGAATCTCTCTCTCTGTACTGCTCCCCAACAATACTGAAAGATGTCTGTCTATGGTAAAGACTTCTAAATTTATCTTTCCAGCCCAGAACTCCATTTGGAACTCCAAATTAATACATTCAATTGTCTTTTCCACATCTCCACTGAGATGTTTAATAGGCCTCTCAAACTCAACATGCCCCAAAATAAATCTAACCTTTCCTTACAAAAGCTCCACTACCCATCTTCTTCATTAGGTAGCAACTCCTTTTTTCTCAGGCCAAAAACCTGAGTCATTCTTGACTTCTATGTATCCTGTTGTCTCTACCTTCCCACATACCCATAATCCAACTTCTTACCACTCATCCACTGATATCCCCTTAGTCTGAGCTATCGTCAATTGATTGAATTACTGTTAAAGGCTCTTAAATATGGCATCTAAAGTGATTCTTCAAAAATATGTCAGACTATGTCATCTTCTACCCCAAACCCCACAGTGACTCCTCATTTTAATCAAGACTAAAAGTCAAGGACCTTACAAGGACCCATAAGGACATATAGGATCTGGCCCCCATTGCTTCTCTGACCCCCATTTTGCCCTCCTCCTCAATTCCTCCTATCCACTCAGCTCGGCTGCTGCTCATTGAACATGACATTCATCCCTTTGCTTTGAGGCCTGTGTTCTACATGTTCTGTCTGCCTTATATTCATTTTATAGAGGAGGAAAGAGGACAGACAGTGGGGAATGGTGGCACACACCTCTAATCCTAGCAGCTGGGGAGGCTGGGGATATGGCTCTGTGGTCCAGTACCCCTGAGTTCAATCCCCAGTACCAAAAAAAAAAAAAAAAAACTAATCTGACCTTT